ATGTCAGGAGCCAGCCGCAACATGTCGTATCCATTAGGAAATCGAATAGATAGACTGCCAGCGCAAACCAGACTGATGTAGGGCCCAACGGCCGTAAGGGGCTTTTGCTTTCCGCCCCTCCCAGGCACGCTTCTGTACTGACCGTTTCGATCTCAACGGAAAGAAACACCTAGCTAGGGTGCATCGAAGTGGAGTGCTGACATTGCTTGCAGGGAAAGCTGCATCCCTTGTTGGAGGTGATTGCAGCCGCCCTAGTGCTATATTCAAAACAAAAAGCGTTGAGAGTGAATGTTGGGTTTGTCCATCCAGGCAGGCACAGGAATTCCTTTGTTATCGTATTCTCGGACTCCTGACTTGGTACAGACATTGCCCATTTCAGGCTCTCCACAATTTCTTAGGCGTGCTGAAGGGAGCGTCAGCAACTCTGGGAGATGCGCATGAAGTGGTCCTTGTCTCTTCTTGTGCATCCGGGCTGCGTGCCTGTCAGCACACCTGCGCGTCCAATTCGGATTCGTGGTCGGAGCCGCCCTGTTGCGTTGTGAAGATAGAAGTGACAATGTTTTATGCCCCGTGGAGGTGTAGGTGTACGTGGTTGGTAGAGTTCCCGAACCTTTCAACACGAGAGAGGTGATGGTCAGACTCGCGCTCCTTCAGATTCCTTTGCCCTTGACAGGCAGGATGAAGAGTGCTGATACCAATACGTCCTCGACGTCGCACCTCGCCCTTCTCGTTGTCTTTCTTTCACCCCTTCCCTCACCCCGGTTCTCAGACGACCTTAACGCTCTCCACCTCGTCCTCTACCACGGTCTTGATCCACTTCATAAAATAACTCACGTCTTTCGAAATCATACTCGGCAAACTCATCTTCTGCATCCACATGGGCAAATTGCCCTTTGCGTCGCTCGCGGTGGCCATGATCCATTCCACCTCATCCCAGGTTTTTCCCACATTGGCATTTCCCTTTTTCCGCCGGACGATCTCTACGGCGGCATAAACGCCCAGCACGACGGATTTTCGTTGTTGCGAGGTCTTGCCTTCGCGGGTGTTGCGGCCCGAGGAATAGATGGCGTCATGAACGCTCGTGCCCAAGGTAACGGGAACAGTGACGGCGAGGAATTCATCCACGCCTCTACTCGCTGTGACGACCAGGACGGGAAAGCAGCGGGGACTTGTCGGCGGCGGAGTGGCGTGGCACATTTCATAGATCGCCATGGTCACGCACGAATATTTCTGACCATTTTTTCCCACAATCTTCTCCTGAGATTCGAGACTTTTGACCTCCTCGTTCCACGTGCACACGCAGTGCGCGTCATACAGAGTGGGTGTAAAATCTTCTTCGTGTTTGGAATGATTGTCGCGCAGTCCGAAGATGAACTCTTTCCAACTAGCGTTTCCTGGGGTAGAAGCATCTTTCGACGACACGTCCCTGTGAATCGATTTGCGGGCACACCAATGTTCGCCTCCGCTAAGAACTCTGGGCGGCGGCTTGCTTCGCCCAGGCCTGGTGTAAGTCTCGCCATGTCCAGAGGCCCTCCCCGATTGCCCTCCGTTCGCGGTAGCAGGTGTATTCTTGGATGCCCCCCAATCAACAATCTCTTCCAACTCTCTGGCCGCGACCGAGTAGGTAAGCGCCTCGACCTTGGCCTCACTAGGTGGCGCAGACCTGACGGAGTGATGTTTGAAGTTGGCAGAGAAGCTGGCTGGCGAAAGGAAATCCACGCCGTCGTCGACTAGAGTCAGCAGGAAGGGGAGGAGCTGTGGGCGGACGCTGTCCGCGCAAGGGAGAGACGAATGTGCTGGGAGCTCGCCCAGTTGCAGGGGGGCAAGACGGATGAGGTTGCTTTGGGTGGTGTTGGTAGCCATTCTCAGGGAGGTGTCAGCCCGCAGTCAAGGTGCGTGGCCTTGCGAGTTCATGACAGTCGAAGGCTTGGGGTCTGAAATATCATGAGCACTGAGGTGGAATTGTGAAGTGGTTCAAGCAAAGACTGATGATCTTCATATTGTCGTTCATCCAACTGGCGACATCACCCTGAAGGCGGGCGGCGTGACTTCGCTGAAACGCCGCAGCGCCGTTTCACATTTGGATCATCGTCGTCATCAAGGCGCCCGACTAGGGTGCCTTCCCCAAATCTGCGTACAACGAGTCATGCAAGGCTGAGGATCCACCCCAGCAAAATGATGCCCGGTATCAAATGCTCAACGCATTGCCATCTAGAACGCTACTCTCCCAGTTCAAGGCGCATTTTGCCTCGCATTGTAAACATACACTAATCAACCCATAATATCTCATGTCGTAATAATGTTGCTCATTTTCATACCTTTTTTGGAGGGCTGGGCTCCGGCTCATCAGCCGCCTCAACCCGGACCAGAATCTCCTCCAAAAAGCCCTCCAGGAACTCCGTTACTCCACCCCCCATACCGACAGGAAATTCCTCGTCGCACTTTTGGATCTCGTGAAACACACCCGCCACTTTGGCCGCAAGTCTGCGAACCTTTTCGTGCGTTTGAGCTCGCTGCTGGTGCATTTCTGCCACCACGGAGGAGCTCAACTTGCTTGTTCGACCCAGCTCTTTCAACATGTAGGTTCGACGGTGCATTGCCGCTTCAAGAGCCGGGATCAGGACCGAGTTTAGGGCAGTGAGCTCCTGATTAGGGTCTGGCCCAGGTGGATATGCAGGAGTGCCGCTTGGGCCGGGCGTTGGTGATTGCGATACATTTGTTTTTGTCGTGAGTGGCGGCAGTGGTTGCTGGTTGGCAATCGATGCAGGACCTACGGGTAGTGGTTTGGAGAGCAAAGATGAGGAGGATGGAAGAGGTTGTTGGCTGACAGGTCTCGAAGATGCAGATGGCTGGGACTTCTGGACCGGTTCACCGCGTCCTGGCTTTCCCTTGAAAGGCGGGATTTCTGGGATAACCATGTGTGGCTTCTTGCCTGGAGGAGTCTGGCCCTGAGATGGCAGCGACTTCGGACTATTCTCGGTGTCGATCTTTAGGAACCCCATATCTTTGATCAGTTGAGCCTGAAATGCTTTGTTATATTCATTTGACCCAGGACTATCTTTGTGGGGTTGCAAAGGGGGGTTTTCGGTCGCTACACGAGCAGCTGGTGTCTTTGGAGTAGCGAAAGGGACAGAAACAGCGAACGGAGCCCGATTCTCCCCAGGGGCTGAAGCTGCCGCTTTCACAGGAGATGACGGTGGTTGCACCTTTGCCGGCGTCGGGAACGCACCTCTGACTGGCGATTTCTGAGGGGATGACGGGATTTTGACAGTCTCGTCCCAGTCTGAGGTGCTCTTCATGGGGCCGGCGGGATCTGCAGAAGCCCTTGCATTGGTGGCGGAGTCGTTCATCGGGCGAAGTCCTGGTCCACGGCTGCCAACAGGTCGCACAGTACCAAAGTCCCACAAGTCCTCATCCTCTGGTCGATGGGTTGCTGGTCTTACGGGTTCTTCGTCTTCTTCCTCGTCATCTGAGGTGCGACTGCCGCGCGTTGCCATGTATCTTTCGTTCCTCTCAATGAGCTCGGTCAGGTAGGTCGTCTTCTTCGCTTTCTTCACAAACGGGTGCTTGAGCAGCTCTTTAGCAGAGGGCCGTTCTTTAGGATCTCGGCGGAGGCAGAGCTCGACAAAGTCCTTGAATGTTCGAGAGAAATTTCCTTGCAATGTTGGGGGAGGGTTTTTCGGTATCAGGAAAAGAACCTTCATGGGGTGGATGTCTGCGTAGGGTGGTTCTCCTTGGGCCAATTCGATCGCAGTAATACCCAGAGACCAGATATCCGCTTTGTGATCATAACCAGATTGCTTGATAACTTCGGGCGCCATCCAGAATGGAGTACCGACAAAAGTATTCTTCTTGGTCATGGTGGCCGAGAGTTGTCCTGACACCCCGAAATCGGCGAGTTTGACCTGTCCGTTCTGGCCCAGAAGCACGTTGGCGGCTTTGATGTCTCGGTGCAACTTCTTGTCAGAATGCAAGTAGTCCAGCCCCATGAGCAGTTCTCGAATGATGATGCAGATGTAGTCTTCGTGGATCAGGCCGGGCCTCATCAAGTCTGAGCAACTGCCGCCCGAGCAGAATTCCATTATAATCCATAGGTCGGAGCCTTTAAGATATGAGCCATGGTATTTTGTCACGTAGGGGGACTGCAGCTCGGAAAGGATGGATATCTCTTGTATGATGTCTTCGACTTCGTCTTCAGCATTTTCCACGTCTATGACTTTGATGGCCACGGCTTGTCCGGTGCGCTTGTCCACTCCTTTGTATACTTTTCCGAAGCTGCCCCCTCCAATACAATTTTGTTTGGTATAGAGTTCCTCAGGGTCCATTTTTATCTTCTGTTCTCACAGGGTCGAAGACAAGGGTAAGCGGTGTGGAATTGTGTTGATCCCGATGGCGCACTCTTCGAGTAGTACAGGTCACTGTGTGAAAGTAGAATACGGAGATTCCAGGTGGGCGAATGGCTCGTAGAGCCGACCAAGCTGGAGGAGCGAAGCTGCAATCAAAAGACGCGCGATGGCTCCCGTAAATGCCGGCGCAGTCTCAAGTCTCGAGCGAAGATGCACTGTCAATTCCTCAGTGCGCATTGGGCAGGTGCTACTGTTGACGTGCGTCTCCCTTCGTTACGGCTCCTTGATCCTCGTCGTTAGGGTGCGTGACATCGTCGCTCATATTAATTCATAAGAAAGTGTCCAGTCACCTGCATGAAGTGAGGAGTGCTGGTGGTGAAGATGAAACGCCTCGACGATTAGCATGTTTACGGCCTTCCCTTCTCGGTGAGCCCATACCGACTCCCATTGGCTGTACTCAAGACTAGTGAAGATGGGCTGATCCAAAGATCTTGGTCTCAATTCATCCTACAGATGCAAAGTACAAGCTCGACGACTTCGTTCCCAAGCACATCCATGGACCGGGATCCATACCAAAAGTCAGGTCGGTGGTATCATCGAGAAGAAGTAACGCCTTGCAATGCCTATCTTCTGCCGAGTCCACCGGCCGCATCATTACTCCACGAATTCCACCATAACCGTTCCGTTTTTCAGACCGGCGCCTTCAATCGACTCGTGCCTGACGTCCATGAGATTTTTGCCCATGGCCACGAGTTCAAATGCCATTCCTTCCTTGCCCTCAAGTGGTTCCGCCTTTAGATACTCATAAATCCGTTGCACAGGATCCTGTTCGGCAAATCGTCGAACAATTCGACCGCCAGGATGTCTGATTTGTACTCGGGTCACGCCTGGTCCGGCAGGGGGCTCTCTGTGAGGGCGGTCGGATGGGATCTGTGCAAACGCAGTCGACTCTGCTGATGCTTCTTCTGCGCCATTCTGATCCACATCCATTGCATCGGCAATTGCTGGCACCTCATTTCCCCGGAGATCCCCAACGCTCCGTGTGAGATCATCAGGATCTTCTGCCGGGGCCGCTTTGCGCTCTACACTCTGGGTAGCCAGACTAGCCTGCAACGCCCGCTCAAGCATCTCCTCCTCGGTGAGTTGGTCAATAGGTTTCTCCTTTTTGGCTTCAGATTTGCGTTTAGCCACAGGATTCCGGACGTTGTTCTCGAGGCTGTACCGGTCCAGGAATTCGTGCAGTTGCATTAGAAATTCGGGTGCTGGGGGCACCTTCCGCGCCCAAAGTTTGATCTGTTCGCCCGTTCGGGGGTCGACAATAGCGACATGCGGGTATTCGTCCTGATTCTCGTACTTCGGGAAGTAGTACTGAATGTATTGCAATGCTCTGGGGTCGTTCCTGTTGTATTGTAGAAAGACGAAATTCTCCTTGACCGTTTCCACAATGCCTTCGTTCTTCCACAGATCGCGGTTCAATGCCTGACAGTCAAAGATTGAAGGGTCCTGAATGTCTACCAGTAGCCACTTCTTGTGTTCTTTACCCTCGTCTCTTGCGCCATCCCAGTTTCCCTTGTACATCAAGTCCCATGGAGGTTGAAAGAGTCTAGCGAGACGATTTGACCTCGCAGAGGCTTCTGATGCCCCTCCGGTGGACTCTGCAAGGACGTCCGAGAGAGTACTACCGATGCCCACATCTTGGTCCCAAATTGAAGTTGGCTGGTGTTGATTAAAAATGCCCGCACGTGCTACTCCGGGATTAGTCACATACTGAGCCCCCAAGATGCCAAAGGCACTGACCTTGCTCTCTCCTTCTTTCAATGACTCGCATTCGTTCTTCTATGGCTGAGGCATATGCAGGACCTGCCATGGGCAAGGCGGCTGCTCCTGGTCCCACCAAAGTCTCGGCCTGTCGGGCAATAGGAGCCCGTACGACATTGTCCATGGCGCCTTCGCCGTACATCTCATTTTGCAATCGCCGTGCCATAGCCTCATCATCCTCATAATCAGCGCCTCGTGCAGGTGGAGAAGCAGTGTCTCTGTGTGATGTTTTGCGGAAACCAGTGATTTCCGGATCATTGTCATCCGAGATATTGTCGTCGTCATCGGCGTCGATGGGGTTCAGACGTCCGCCAGGCATACGGGAGTCGGAGGGGGGAGGAGGACGCGAGGAAGCGGCTGCTAGGTCGGCGCCACCATTTTCAAAGAATAACTGTACAGCTTGATTTGGATCGCCGTCTGCAAGTTGTACGTACTGCGAGGCCAGTTCTGGGGTTGTCCCACATACGGAGACAACAGTGGCGATCGCTTCATCCATGGCGAGGGGGAGGATACAGTTCTTGGGAGGGAGATCGGTTGATTATTTGGACTGGTGATGTAGTTAAACGACCCCTAGGAGAGTCTTCAAGGAGAGGTGGTAATCATGAAGGAATTGAAGTGGGATTATTGCAAAAGACAATGAAGAAACAAATCGTAAGAGGTGGAAGATGCCATGTGTCAAACAGTAAACTGGCAGTCACTGCAGTCGCTGGTGATGGGGAGAGATGTTCTGAGGCAAGGCAGGCACAAGACGAGCCACAGCGCACAAGGCGGCGGCGTTAATGACGAAAACCACCGGCGTCACAGCCCGATGAAACAGCAGGTGGTGACTGGCCATGTGCACAGCGGAGAGGACAAACATGCCAAGCCTGGATTCACTGTTGTCACCACCAGGCAGGTGATTTCAAATGACACAGTACCAGCGTGAGAGTACGGCGGATCATAGAGGAGATGGGTGCGCGAGTGAGAGCCGTGGCTTGAGTGGCGTGGCGAAGCCTGGCACCTGAGTCAAGCCGAGGTCAGTGCCCGGCCGCTGACGGCGCTTGTGGTGGCACGCTCCTTCACGCTCCTTCCCTCAAAACGCGGTCGCGTCGACTCTTGGCAGGCGCGGCTGGGATGCATGACTCGCGACTGCCACTTCTTGAGTCGTGTCCCTCGCGCCTTCCACAGCTTCACCTTCTCCAACTCCAACACATCAAAAGCAGCAACTGCCACCTCAAATGGCTGCCACAGTGCTGGGAAAGCGTTCTCGCCGGGTTCTGGACGAACAAGGTCCGTCTGCCTCATCCAGCTTCTGGATTTTGGTGAATGCTACTAACAGGATGCGTCGGCAGATGGCTCGAATACACTTCACACCCCAAAGAGACGGACGCGACGCTCTACACCCGAGATATATCAAGATGCAGCTGAGAAGGATGTATTGGAGAAGCCGAATACCAGATCTGTGAAAGCCCGTAACGGACGAACGAACGATACTGTACAAGACAGTCCTGTAAAGAACCAAACGAGCACGACCACACCCATTGGAGATTCCAACCTTGCCGCAGACGAAAATCTTCCACCCTCGATTGTGTCGACTCCCGCCGCTGTCCGCTTTAAAGATGTCCTCGCTTCATCCGCTCCAAGTACACCAAGACACCGCGTACGACTTGCTGGCAGACTTCTCACTCCGCAATCGTCCCGCTCATCCACACCATCAAGATCACAAAATGTATACTCACGCGCTCGACAGCTGTTTACGCAAGCTGGCAATGGAAGGATTGTCGGACGCGAGGCTGAACGACATCAATTGACCAACTTCATTTCCAAGGCCATCAAAACTGGGATTGGGGGCTGCACATATGTTAGTGGACCACCTGGCACCGGTAAGAGCGCCTTGGTCCAAGAGATCATGCAAGAATTTCAAGGGGCGTCCATCAAAGCCACCACGATCAATTGCGTGTCTTTGAAGTCTTCCGCCGAAGTCCTCGCCCGGCTCAGCGAAGCTTTTTGCCCTGGCAAGGGTAGCTCAAAGTCATCAAAGGCCCCCCTGGCGAAGCTGTTCACGACGAAGAGAGTCGACTCCGAAATGCGTCTCGTTTTGCTGGACGAGATCGACACCCTCATCGGGGGTGATTGCGACGTGCTGTACAGCATCTTTGAGTGGGCCATGCATCCCTCGTCCAGTCTCATATTGGTTGGAATTGCCAATGCTCTGGATTTGACTGATCGTTTCTTACCCCGTCTCAAGTCAAGGGGCGTCAAGCCCCAGCTGCTACCTTTTCTTCCATATTCGGCTCAACAGATCTCGACCATTATATCGGACAAGCTACGGTCTCTCGTGTCTGACGGAACCACGACCGCCGCCGAGTTCATCCCTTTGGTGCATCCTGCGGCTATTCAATTGGCGGGCAAAAAGATAGCATCTCAGACTGGGGATCTACGAAAGGCCTTCAGCCTGGTTCGTCGTGCTCTTGACCAGGTTGAGCAAGAGACGCTTTTGAAGACGAGCCAAGAACAGAGCACGACTCCAACGAAGCAACCACTCCAAGAAATTTCGAACCTGTCCTCCAGTTTGGCTCTTCCATCGCCTGCCAAGGTTGACCATCGATCTGTCCTCAATCATCTTACATGGGAGACAGCGCCTCGAGTGTCGATTGCACACGTCGCGAAGATCGCGGCCACCATTTTCAACAACGGTACACTTTCTCGCTTGGGCGGGTTGAATCTCCAGCAGAAAGCTGTGCTGTGTTCATTGGTAGCGTCCGAAACCCGCCAACACCGCCGCGATCCTTATACAACACCGTCCAAGTCGGGAACAAGGATACCTACCATAAAGGGGCTGTTTGAGAAATATGCCCAGCTGTGTAAGCGCGATGAAGGATTGTTGCAGCCGCTGAAGAACACCGAGTTTCGAGACGTAGTTGCAAGCCTCGAAACCCTAGGGTTAGTGCAAGAGACGTGTGGGCGAACGTCGGGCTTGCTGACACCCACAAATACGCCGTCTCGAAGCGGAAGGGGGGCGGACGACAAGCAGGTGGTGAGCTTAGTGTCTGAGAAGGAGATGAGGGACAGCCTGACGGGTCCAGGGTCTGATTTGTTGGTGCGGTTACTCGAAGAATACTGATAAAAATCTGGAAGGATTGGACTTCTGTCTTTGGACTTCGCATGGCGCGGGAATAGGTTTGCGCGAGCGAAGGAGTCTTTGTCTTGGATTCTCTAGGCAGCTTATGGTGCCACTGGCCCCAACGACGGGGGCGGGCTTGGGCCTCGTAAACGAAATGAAACACTTCCCTGAAGTCCTCGGTCGATTCGTTATGTTCGCTGGGCTGTGGCGATGGTTGAACCAAGAGCCGTGGGATGCACTGGTTGAATGGCGTTATCCAGATCACAAATGATGTCAATTGAATGCTTGCGAATGCGCGTCCCCTTGAATCATAATCATGTCCCTGCGTGAGAGAGACTGACAAAGGAAATTGATCACCACAGGGGCGACCAAGCTTTTGCTGAAGCTTCTCGCATGGTGGCCATGATTTTGCTTGATCTCTACCTAGTGTAACTCGGTAGTGCCAGTCTTTCAGAGGAACAAGAGGCCCGTCCGCAGCCCTACACCATCCATTGGAGGAAGCCTGCACCAGCGTGCGCCATCTCTTGCAAGGTATCATCCTACGAGGACCAAGTCAAGACAAGTACAAAAGCATACTTCGCATGGTGGGGGCTTCGCAACCGCCCAGCGGGCAGCAGCTGTCACCCCATGCAAGCCCATGCTGAGCCGAATCCATGCGCCCTCGACGTTGCTGCGCCAAATCCAAGATTCCAAACGATCCTCCGCATCCTTTTCCCAGCCTGCGCTCATTCTTCCTCCACCGAGGTACTTCCGGATTATCTGGGTATATCTTGCCATACCCGTCTCCTTTGTCAGGTATGCGCCGAAGTCTTTGCTTGGGTCGCGTAGGTTAAGCAGCATATGTTGACGCGGACAAGCACGGACACGCCCCTCTGAGCGCTTGTATCTCCAATGGCCGAGAACGAGAACGAGAACGATCCGAGCACACCCGCCTTGCGCAAAGATGGAGTCCTCTCCCAGGCGGACAAGATAGGACCGAAACTGGTGGGCAAAACAGAGAAACTGGAGGAGAAATATCGCGGGGCCACCGGTACCGACCTCTCCGAAAAGAAAGAGAAGAAAGGCCCTGCTGGAGGGTTCGATGACACACCCCTGCCCAAAGCGCCGCCAGGATATACCGTCAAGATCACATTTCACAAAGCCGAGAACCTCCCCTTTTCCGACTTTGGCACTCTCTCTTCGGATCCCTACGTTCTAGCAGTTCTCCGCACGGATCTGCCCAAGAGGCACAAGCAAGACCCCGATCTCAAATTGAGGACGCCGACCATCCATCGCAACACGAACCCGGAATGGGAGACCGAGTGGATTGTCGGCAACATCCCGGCCAGCGGGTTCCATTTGAAGTGCAGATTGTATGACGAGGATCCGTCCGACTACGATGACCGGTTGGGGAATGTACACATCGATGTACCCCACGTTGACGAGAACTGGAAAGGATTCTCGCACCAGAAGTTCCAGTTGAAGAAGCGCATGGGTAGTAAGAGAGCGTACACGTTCCGCGGATGCGCCGCCCTGATCTCGAGGAGAGTCAAATTGAACGGAAGCCTCATTGTCAGCGTGGAGAATCTGGGCAAGACCGCTGCAGAGGACGGCGGTCGCGTCTACACAATCGGTCCATTACCATGGAGTCGGCATTTCTCTCCTTTGATTGGGCGGATAGCGGGGACGAAGGAGTCAGAGCAAGGGAAAGATGGAAAGGAGATCCAGAGATACAAGTAACGTCCACCTGTGGGCTTTGTCTTGCCAATAGCCACCCGCTAATCACTCATCCAGCTTCCAATCCGTGCAGATGCAGCTGCGAGGACCCGTGCCAGCAGATCTCTATCACCGATACGTCGAATTCAGGCCCTTTGTTGCCGGAATGTTTACAGCCCACACCCTGCGCGGTCGCCTGCTCAACCGTGCTTTGCACCACCAACACGCTCGAATCTACAACTACGACAAAACCACCAAGTATGGCGTCTTTCAAGAACCCTGCCCCGAGATGACGAAGCTATTTCTCGACTTTGTACACTACGACGAAGGAGGGCGCATCTTCACTTATGTGTTGACATTGGATGGACAACTACGCTTCACGGAAACAGGAAAAGAATTCGGGATCGATTTGTTGAGCAAACATACCATGCATAGTAATGTGAGCATCTACATTGCATTCAGCGGCGAGTTTTTCATCCGAAGAATCAAACACGCAAAGGCACACCGGAACGATGACAGTGTGCATCCGGCGGAGGAGACGCACCCTCCCTCGACTCCGTCAGATGAGGAAAGAGACAATATTGGTAGCAGCAGCGGCGGCGGCGGCGGCGGCGGTAGCCCCGGCGGAGCGAATGACGCACGGCCTATGACAAACGGCACGACCTCCTCAGAGAGCAAAGAACCCTGGCATTACGAACTTGTCATCGACAACGACTCCGGGACGTACCGGCCGAATGCGGCCAAACTCCCCGTCCTTCGCAGCTACCTCTCCGAAAACTTGCCCGGCCTCAAGGTCCGAACCCTCGACTGCCAAGCCGACGCCGAATTGCAGCAGAAGCTCAAAAGCGAACAGCGGGAAAGGAAGAAGCAAGCCCGCGGAGGCAAACAGGTCATGTACCTACAGAACACGAGCATGAGCAGTCTGAGCTCAAGTGACGAGGAGGATCTAGCCAGCCGAGCCGCAGCGGGAGCGGACGGCCAGGTCCACGAGAGCAGATACAAGAGAGAGATGCACAAGTTCATGGACGGAGGCCGGGACCTGCACCACGGCGATGACGAAGACGACGAAGGGGACCACGGGGCAGAAATCACCATCGCGCGCGAGAAGCCAGGGCAAGTCAACGGCCAGCTTAGTGACGGAATGCATGGCGATGCAGTTGGAAAGGGCAAAGAGAAGGACACACCCGCGAACGAGCCAGTCGCCGCCGGGCCGCAGCCGTGAGGTGAGAAGCCGCAATGCCAACGACAAGAAGCACCACAACCACCCTTATGACCTACTAGGTCGAGGAGGGATACCATTGTGTTTCTACGGTTTTGTTTGTGTGCATGTTTTGCGCTTCTTGGATTTTGAGTGAGCGGGCGACCGAATGAGCCGGTCTTCTATCTTGTGGTTCGGCATGGGAGGGAAGGATGAAGGGAGGGAGGCAGGAGGCGTGTTGTGGGTGATTGTTTGGTTCCGGACGAATTCCTCCTGGGGTAATCTTGTCGAGCGGCTCACTGGCTTGTCTGTCTGTCTGTTTGTCTGTCTATCTATCTGTTGTCTGTGATGCGGTGCGGTACGGTGCGGTGTGATACCCCTTTCTTCTCCTTTCTTTTTCCTTCCCTCTCTTCAATGTCGCCTGTGTCCACCTCAAAAAGTTCAACCACGTCCTTCTGGGTGGTGTACTTCGCGGTGGTGGTGGATGTGGTATGCTTTTACCGCCCACACATATATGTACATACTCTATCCATGTCCAGGGGTCGCGCGTGTCATGGTATATTCATTTTTTTTCCGCGGCGCGTCTAATGTAATAATGCACCGTCCTTTTATTCATTCATTCATTCATTCACCATTCAGCCATTTGCTCGCTTACTCACTCACTCACTCGGGTGATGGGTTCTGGGGAGAAAATGGGGATAGTAGCAACGTTACTCTCGAAAGAAGGTTTGGTTAAGTCAAGTGGAGCTGCTCTGGGTTGGATTACTATCTAGGTACATAGGTACATAGGTACGAGGGGTAGTTCACTGACTCTAAAGCTATAGAACAAAACAGGACGTTGGGGGATTTGCGTCAACTCAGCTCAATCAATACATGAATCCCCCAGCGTGGCACGCCACAGGCTGGCGCATCGATCGACGTTTGACATCTCGGATTTTAAATTGTGCTTGATAGAGAATGAGAGATCGTTTACTTGCTGGAACGGCATGGAGAGGAGACAGAGAAGGATATGGACAAGGAAAAAGGGACATTCCAAATTGATTTGATCTGTTTCTTCGGTGGTTGGTGACTCCCTTGTCGCCTCGCAGACGTCGCCGAAAGAGAGCCCTCCACCGTCTTGCTCGAATCTCGTTACCACTTTTAATTCCTCCAACCATCACACGCTCCGATGCGATTGTCTTTTGGTTCCTTTTGCCGTCTTCTGATCGTAGAGGAGAAAGACCAAATGTGTTGGCAGTTGGATGCATCGGAGACGGGAGGAAGTCAATACCCCTCCAGCATTCCAGACCTCAACTCCTGATGTTGTCTTGTTTGTCCAAAGAAGAAGCCTCCCAAACACCTTGCTTGTCCCAGCCAACAGACCGTTACCTGCCCCCTCGCCCATCACAGATCTTTCGCCTTGCTTTGCTCATAAGCCCTGCAACATTCGTCAAGAGTTCCATTTCAGCCATTGCAGATGAGCACCGTCAACTCTCCTGTCTCCTTTTCTCTTCCAGCTCTGCCAATACCTTGCCCGTCGCATCGACAATAAGCTTCCACTCCGTTTCATGTATCCTCTCCTCGAGATCACTCTGCGGCTCCCCAGCTTTCATTTCGATCTCCCTCACCAAAACCGGTGCGCCCCGGTCCACCTCATCAGTCACATAGTGGACCATCACTCCGGTCCCAGAAATTTCCCCTCTTTGAAACGCCTCGTAGGCACGGCCGATGGCATTTGCCCCGTCAAACTGGCCTGGCAATGCCGGGTGCAGGTTGATGATGGGCACATTTGCCTTCGCCAGAGCGTTGATGAACACCGGGGACAGAATATGCATGAAGCCGGCACAGACCACCAGGTCCGGGCACGGGATGTGCGTGAGGATCTTCTGGGCTAGATCGGTGTCGTACTGATTCCGAGCTGCAGTTATCCCGGCCTCTGTGTCCGGAAATTTCTTCTTATACGACAGCAGGTTATGGTATGTGACAGGGATGTGGGCATCTTGGGCGCGGGCGATGCCCTTTGCCTCACGGCGATTGCATATCACATGAGATATTTCAGCATTTGGAAGTAACCGTCGAGGGGCGGGTTTGTCTTTGGAAGGAGGGGCCTGGCCGCAGGCGTCGATCA